CCATAAAGTGGTCAAGCACTTATAATATATTTTAAAAAAATATTTTTATAATAATCTATTAATTCAATTAAGCCACCCTCTTACTTAATTCTGCCGCCAAAAAGGCGTGCCTTCTCTGCTGTGTTTAGGTCTGAAAGGTAGAAGTCAATAAAAGTGAAGCGAGCCAGTATTAGCTAAATTTTCAAAATTGAATACTTACACAAACAAAGTCATAGGAAAGAATTAGTTTAAAATACTTTTGTCGAATAAAAAAGGCCTTGCTCTTGTTTTTTCGTATATTCGTCTTCATATATACCTATTCCTCCATTGTTATAAAATATTAATTATTTTAATGGTTTCAATTATTATACAGTACGTACGACATATAAATACGTGTTTTGTTCGTGTTTTTTTAAAAATGTATAACAATATCTGAAGAACAAAACATCTTTAAACAATAAAATCATTGATATTGTTACTATAAATAATAACTAAACCGCCATCTTGAGCCGTTCGCCATATTGAATTTAGTATGATGTCACTTAGCTAACCATGCATTGTCATCCAAACTAATCATGCGTGCAAAATATCAAGCTCAATCGGTGGAGGATAACTGCTTTAAAATTCAGTTGCAAGATTTGACCCTAACAAACATATTTACATTGCAATTAAAAAATGCTTTTAACATCGTTTACATTTCCAATAATATTAAAATAAAAAGCGTGCTGACAGTCCGTGATATGAACGTGGTAGAGCCATGCTACAGCTGTATTAATGGTATAGTTGTAGCACGAACGCGTCGGCTGGACCGGGGAAGGACCACGCTCTCACAGAATACCGTAAAATAGCAGCTTAATGTTGCTGTGTTTTGTATGGTAAGTGTAGAGAACTGAAGACCCTTGTTTACGGGAAAAGAGGCATTCCATCTGAATCGTAACTGCTGATAACGCATCTGCATTTTGATTCAAAAACGATGATAGATCTAGATGTCTACGGACCACAGCAACCACTTACCATCAGGTGAACTGTGTGCTCGCTTGTCATCCTTATTCTATAAAAAAAGTCCGCTGTTGTCGTCCACATAGAAGCCACATCATTCTGAACAGTCCACAGTCCACAATATGTGAGTTTTGTGTTCGACATAAGTTACAACCAGCTTTTCAAAGGTCACATATGCTTTGCTAACACTGAGAATAAATAATTCTCGCAGCCTCTAATAATAAAAGGCCTGTTACTGTTATTGTTACAGCCTACCAAAAGTTCACTGCTAAACATAGGTCTTCTGTATAGTTTGACTCATAGGGACGATATTTGCTAAAGTTGCCACACTTTGCAGGCGGGTTGGCAGTACAGTATTTTCATTTTTTAGTTGTTATTAGGAAGACATCACTGCCCATATCCTGGTGTCGCCTCTGTAGCGGGTGTGAATTTGTTTTTGTGTGTGTCCAATAGCGGGCGTACAGATAAATAATAGTCCTGCACTTATTACACTTACACATTTATTGTACAGAAATATAAAGTCACACCATAATTATACGAGTATAGTCAAAAGGAGATAGCAACACTAACAAAAATAATCAAGCATAAAGATATAAAGAAAGGGGGAGAGACGCTTAAGAAAAAAAAGTAACAGAATTTAGTACACACGTAAACATTTAAATAACAAACGTCCGTTTACCAAAGCGACAATCTCTCTTAGTTGTAGTACTCTGTGCCACCACTACACGGATGGGTCTTTTATTAAACCGAAAATACGTGGTAGAGCGACGTCGTCGCGTACTATAGCTGCAGCACGATTAAGTCTACTCGACCCAGGAAACACAAGGGCGACTCTTCGACAGAATACCAGCGTAAGATAACGCAATATTTTTGGAACACAGTTCCTTATCGGACGGTACGGGTTTGGCGGATGGGAGCTAGGCGACAAAAAGTGTAAGATTTTTTCGTCACTAGCCCTTGTGTCTTAGTGTATTTCATATCGTCATAGTGTAATCGAGGATAGATGGGCCGCAGCAACCACTTACCATCAGGTGGACTGTTTGCTCGTTTGGTACCCTTATCCTATATAAAAAAAAGAATCTCAAACACGGCTGCCTATCTCAACAGAGTCAGTTCAGGAGTGTGTGTGGTAGCACAGGTGCACTCTTAATTCCCTCTCTGTTATAGCCTGATCGTACGGTAATCCGGTACTACGGGAGAGATATCTGGCGCAGAACAAACCACTTAACATGTTTTCACAGGGACGGTGGTGGACACTCTGCCAACTTTCTGACTCCAGGCTGCTCCTAAGAGTTTTGTGGCAGAAATATTCAACAACTGATTTTGGGCCGACCCGAGATCGCACTTACGACTACTAGACTAACGAGACAGACAAATATAGTAGATATATATATATATATATATATATATATATATATATATATATATATATCTACTATATTTGTATATACTATATATATATATATATATATATATATATCTACATAGGTACCAACGTAAAATCAATTACGAAGCAAGAAATATAATAATATGCACGGATTTGCACGTAGTGAATTACTTTGAAAGCGTATTTTAAATATTATTCAGTCATTTTAAAACCAACTCTCCAATTCAACTAACAACACACTATTATAAAACATAAAGATACATACTAATTATTCTATTAATATATAATTTAATCATCACAATACAAATTTTACAATGCAAAAGACTTTATAGTCCACCTGATGGTAAGTGGCTACTGAAGTCCTTGTACACTTGCAACCGACTTCAATAAAGACTTCTAGCCGAATTAGATGCAAGGGCCCACAGACTATCTACTATTACTATCTCTGTATACTCTTAATCTATAACTGTTATTTGACGGCAGAAATAAGTAAAAGGGTAACCTAACCTGCCCAGCCGGATTTCTAGACATAAAAGAAGTGGAGGTGGTAGACTTATTAGGAAAAGGTGCAATTTACATATCGCTTCATTTAATTAATAAAAATAATAATAATAATATTTTATTTGCACACCATACAAAGTCTTTAAAAAATAAATACAAAATGTTTACTTATTCTACACAGCAGTAATTCAGCTGACGCTTACAATAGGAAAACCTAAGCTGTAAACGTCAGTACTCGTCTAGTGTCACAATGTACAAAAATTACACAATAATAATTAAACGTGGTAGAGCCATGCTGCAGCTACATCGGTAGTACAGTTGTATCACGATTGGGTCGTCTCAACCGAGGAAGGACCACGCTCTCACAGAATACCAGCGTAAAATAGCAGCTTAATGCTGATGTGATTCGTAAGACGTGTAGAGAACCGGATACTATTTTTACTGGAAACGAGACATTCCATCTTAGTCCTCACGGCTGACAATGCATCTGCATTTTGATTTGTAATCGAGGATAGATGTAGATGTCTATGGGCCGCAACAACCACTTACCATCAGGTGTACTGTGTGCTCGTTTGTCACCCTTATACTATAAGAAAAGAATACCAGCATAAAATAGCAGCTTAACAACAATGTGTATCGTATGATGAGTGTAGAGAATCGGAGACCCTTTTTACTGGAAAAGAGGCATTCCAACTTAGTCCTCAGCGACAGCTGAGTCTGAGAGCGCATCTGTATTTTGATTCGCAAATGAGGATAAATGTAGATGTCTACGGGCTACAGCAACCACTTACCATCAGGTCGACTGTGTGCCTTAAGGGTGACCTTCATTAAGGGTGATTTTAATAAATCGGAAGTTGGATGTCGAATCTTTTTAAAAGTGCTTACTTTATTAGTTTTAGATTTGTATCAACAGGATTTTACCTATTATCTATGCCAACTGGTGGTAAATAATAAGTGTAGTCAAAAATTGTTAGGCGTACTGACTAACAAATGCCCATTCACTATACAGTCATTATTGTAATCGGATGAAGAGATAGAATAAATAAAAGATATTATAATTTATGAATAATATTATTATGAATGGCAGAGGTGTTAAGGTCTGTTTTTACTTTATTTATTTAATAATAACAACAATTTTACTTTAATATATCAAATAGATCAAATTACTTAAATATACACAAAAAAAACGACCGATCGTTTGAAATTGATAGATTCGAATATTTTTTTTATTAAAATGTTAGCTTGGATGCTTGTACTTTAAGCTATATCTTCATTTATCTCCGTATCAAGTCATAATAATGTTTTATAGTACACTGCTTCACAATATTATGCGTCACATTGCATAGCCTTTGGGAGATTTTGGTGGCAACTTGATCCAGCAGACAGTTGGCGATAGTATCTCAAGGTGTCTAAGCAGACAACAATCGACAATCAGCGCACTTGTTTTTTTTTTTGTTTTTTTATAGGATAAGGGTGACAAACGAGCACACAGTCCACCTGATGGTAAGTGGTTGCTGCGGCCCATAGACATCTACATTTATCCTCTGTTACAAATCAAAATGTAGATGCGTTGTCACCCGTGAGGACTAAGATGGAATGCCTCATTTCCAGTAAAAAGGGCCTGCGGCCACCTGCACTCACCAAGCGAAACGCAGAGGTAAACCTCTACTACACGCTGGTATTCTGTGAGGTCGTGGTACCACCCCGGTTCGAGCCGGCCCATCCGTGCGACACTGCCCTGCACTGCCGCGTGGCTCTACCACTGTTAAAAGGTTTCACCGTTTTCGATAATAGTACACACGTGCAGACATTTAATACACAAAATCGCAAACACCACTTTTATATATTATCAAAATTTATTTCAAATCTTTATTTAATCAATAATACAGAAACAGCAATCCGCCGCCGCTCAAGTTCCCGCCATAACTCCTACAGATACCACTAAAGTTGCATTTATTACAGATTATAACACTATTGTCTTTATTAGACTTATGTAATAGTTTATATTATTATAAAATAGAAATAATATGAAAAATCATAGAACCACTTAAATAAATAAATAAATTTACGTTATTTTCATATGGAACATGATAACTCAGATATAAATTGTTTTTACTAAATACAAATATTTTCTTCAAAGCCAACCAGTTTTGGGTTGTCGCTTAATTGTGTTAACATCATCTATTTTAATACTGGGTCGAAGCGTTTTTGGGCCCGGAGATTTAAGCAGGTGCTCTGTGCTCGATGTGGACGAATGACACTGTAAAATGTAGTAAATTTTTAATTTAAAATAATTTCTTCTTCTCCCTCTTCCTCTTTTTTTATCATAAACTATATAATCTAATAGTAGATATGCGCTCTACTATTATAGGATTGATATACCCTGATCGCCACGCTTGGCAGTCGGTTGAGTGAACGCAGTACAAAACATAGCGCACCGCTGATCCCCATCGCCGGTACGATTTTTTTATAGAATAAGGGTGACAAACTAGCAGTCCACCTGATGAAAAGTGGATACTGTGAGCCATAGACATCCACATTTATCCTCGATTAAGAATCATAATGCAGATGCGTTGTCACCCCTGAGGAGTAAAATGGAGTACCTCGTTTCCAGTAAAAAAGGTATCCGGTCCTCTACACTCACCTTACGAAATACAACAGCATTAAGCTGCTATTTTACGCTGGTATTCTGTGAGAGCGTGGTCCTTCCCCGGTTGAGCTACCACGTAAAAATTTGCTGGCACATTCAAAGAATACCGCCACGTATATAGTAGGTAAAGAGGTATCTTTATGGCCTTGTCCTTCTCACCATCTTAGTCATTTCTTACTACACCCACAAGATGAAATGCGGTAATGAATTCTCTTACACGCCAGAAGCCGTACTTTTTCTACATTTTTTTTGGGAAACAGATACGCCGTTTGAATCAATGACGCATCCGATTGCAAAATGTACGCCAGTCCATAGATGCCTAGTCATGTCTAAGAAACTAACAATAAAAATCCCCAAGAGCACTTCTTCTTTTCATTCTTTTCCTTCATTAGTATAAAAGTCCACTGCTTGACATGGGCCCCTCCCAATGTAAGAAAGATTTGCCTTTAGCGTTAGGCTTTACAGATTGATTGAACATTGCAATACCAAAGGTTACGCAATATTAAAAAAAAGTACATTAAAGAGAACGCCAATTGGCATTACATCCGCCCATTGTATTAATGATAAGGTTTGAAATAAAGATTAAAATAACTAAAAATGAATAAAAGCTGACTCACTGGTACAGCAGATGTGGTTTGCAAGGAAGAAGGTCTAGGTGATGAAGGCCGAGGCTTAAAAAATGATGGGGTTTTATTATCGCTTGACAAGTTCTTCGTTGTTGATTGTGTAACCGATCGAATAGAAGGCGAACTCGGCGTCACTTCCATTATTGATGTCACTGGAGTCTAGAATGAGAATGTGACTAAGTTACAATCGTCGATATATATGTACTACGCACTAGATTTCGCATTCCGAACATTGACTATGTTCAACTGAACTGTACTGCAATCCGTACACTAAACTAAATATTGCGTAAATTGAAGATTTGTGAATTCCATAAGATAATTATTATTACATTTTATTTAGAAATATATTTGTTTAGATTAACATAAGAGAATTTTATATTAAATTCTTATATCTTATTTTATATTAAATTTATCTTCGCGCATACGCGACTCTATTATCTCCCGCGCATGCGCGAAGACATAGAGTAGGGCACAAGTTTTGTTTGGAATATCTTCTCTAGTACGTAATACATATAACTCAATGGTTACAATACATCCAGGAAACAGAGTAGCGATAATAATCGACCTAGTTATATAGCGTAGGCATTTACATCTACATGGCTATGATAAGTTGCTGAATTATCAATCTTTGTATAAGTTCCTACGTTTATTTAAACACATCCACCTTTAAAGTATATGTAGCATATAAAACCATACTTTGAAAAGGTATTCTAATGCTTTATTCGACAGAGACGACGCTCAATAAAACTGAATATAGCTGTCTCTTTCTAAAGTTCGATGGTTAATATTTACAGTCGGTGTTGGAATCAGAATCACAATCAGATTATTTATTAACAATAACCTGTATATGTACAATTTTCGAGTGACATTTCAATTAAATATTACACAGATATTGGATATTGGGTATGCAATAGTTAAGAAACAAAAACTTTACATAAATTAATGTTTGGTATTAAAATATTCATTTAAATTATAAAAAAACATTATGTATTAATCACTCCATGACGTGTATTTTAAATTTTAACAAATCCTTTTATATCAAATCTTTTTATATCAGGTGGCAGATGATTGAATATTTTAATACTACTTTTCATCACCAGTGATCGATCTTTTATAAAAATGATTCGGTTTCATTACGTTTCAATAGAGATTTTTGGTAATAGGCAAATAAGTACACGTTTCATTAGGTTTCTGTCAGTAAGCTCGTGTGATACCCAAATATCGAGCTTTTTTTGTATAGCCAGACTTTTTCAAATGGGTCAAAACTGTTTTGTAGTACATCTTCAATTCCTCGGCTATGTAGTAACTACTAATATGCCGATATTGCTCCACTTTTTGAAAAATTGCATCGACTTTATCCGTATGAGGGCCACCAGAGCGAGCTGCATCTTTGACATCAAAATTCCTGGACTTAAAACGCTTGAAGCAACTTTGTGCTACTCTTGCTGACACTTTATTAGGTCCATAAACGTCACAATTTTTTTTTCGCGGCTTGAGTGGCATTATTACTCATTTTGGCGGACAGAAAAACAATTGAAAAATTGTAGGAAAGTATTTTTTACCTTTAATCTTCTTTTTCTTAATGTACAATCAAAGAGAATTTTCTTCAATTTTATACAAACAAAATACGAAGAACCTTTTTCCCCGACCTAATATTAGTAAGAATGAGTTAAGCGGTTATTTGTGCCAAATTCTAATGGAGATTCTCGCAAAAAATATTCCACAAATTATCTTATTTCTCTCTAAGAAGGTAAGAAAAAAAGAGCAGTTCTCCATGGTTCTCTAGTGGTACAAGATCTGATTATTTTTTTCAACGTTAATATTCCTTGAGTATTAAATTCTGATAGACTACGCGAATATCAATTGCAACATGCTATATACCTTTGGCTTAGCCGGTGGTGGTGGCAACGCTCCCTCTGTGGGTTTGATTTCAGATACTACCGGTCTTGCTAATGCTATATCTTCTTTGGTTTCATTATCCACCTGGAATATAACGAGAATTATCTTTGATTTCTACGATCAGTAAAAAAAATATATTTTTTTGCTTTTTGTTGATCTAGTGACAAATATCATTTTATTAATTTGTATGAATTCTTGTAATATTAAAACAATTAAAAAATTGCAAGAATCGTTAAAATAATGTTTAAGAATTTGTGCTTGGAAAGGAAAATATAGTGACATTAAAATCATTAAAATACTTCCAATTAATTGAATTAATATATTCTGTTTAGAAAATAATTTATATTTATATATTATAATATATTTGCAATATGATGATTACATTCCATTGTAAACAGAATTAACAATCTATTCTTACGATTAAATATTCTACAAAATTACATAAAACACTGAGTATCCTTAAGTCATCTGACGAAAAGTCCAAAAAACTTATAAAATTTCGAGATACAGTTTATAAGAATGGTAATTTCTAATCGATGATGATGGCGTAAGACAACTACCAATCTGTTTCTTATAGGTGAGGTAGAGAAACTATGAGAAATGCTAAAAAAATGAAATGACGTCCGATAATTTACATTTATTGTAAGCATAATATGAAAAAGGCTACGGGATTCGAGCACCGTCATTTGTAAGACATCTGGTAATGCGATGAAATATCTGTCTGCCATTACTGTTAATTGTAAAAGTTAAGCAAAAAGCATGCAGCTTACAAAAATCTATATTTGAAATATTAACATTAAAAACTTGGTTCGATATTTAGTCGCAGTGGCATGCTTTGGTTTGTTTGTGTAATTTCATTTCTATAGTCTGCAACTTTTTCTAGAATTTTTGTTGTCATGAGACACGAGACATTCGTTATCCTTCCTTAAGATATAGACGGTAAAGATTATTATTGGTCGTAATTAATTCATATCTGACAAGAGTGTGGGTAAGATCCTTTTAGAATTGTGGTGATTGTGTGTGTTAATGTAGGCTTATACTCTCTACAATGGGAGAGGTCCATGACCAGTATGTATGAAATTAACAAGATGAAAATGTAAGTCAAAGGCTTTATTTAATAGAATACTCTTGAGGGGTTATGATGATGATGAGTGCATAGTTATTTTGCCGTAGGAAACAAATCGTTTCCTATGCCTACATTTCTCGACAAAACAGATCATGTAAAGATAAAACATCATATACAAAAATTTAATGGGACCACTCTGGAGATAAAGCCAATTTTATTTAATAAAAAAAATCAATAATGGTTTACAATCTTTTTAAAGTCAGCTAATAATATCGATTAAAGGAAGCAATGGCATTGAACAACAAAATAATTGGATACTCATATTTACCTGTTCATTTAATCCAGTCGGATTTTCTGCTTGCTTAGATTTTTGCGTTAAATCACTGGGTAACGGTGTCGGTGTTCTTAATGAAGTTGTGTCTAAAATAATATAAAAATATATGAACTTATATGTGAAATATTTAATACATGACGGCACGTGCACCATTGCAAGTGCGGCGGCGTCGGTGTAGCTAGACAGAGTTCTTGTAAATAACACGTGCTCCGCACACCTGCACCATTGCACCTGCGGTGGCGCCCGTTTAGCTTGTATAAAATGGACGGAGCTGCCGCCGTTAGGGGAGTCTTGGCTCTGAAGTGGAACGGTGCGCTTGTCGTATTCCGTTACTAGTTTATCCTCGACTAGTTGGATAATTAATTCGTGTAAACGAATTAATTATCCATTTTTTGTTTGAAAGATGACTTGATTGAGCGTGTTCTTAGCTATGATTAAAAAAATCTTTTCAGCCGTTTGAAAACCATCAGTTCTTTTTGCTGCGGGGGTATTTTAAATTTTTTACATAACTTAATATTATTACTCGTACTTTCTGAGATTTATAACCTGACATTATTATAACTTAAGTACCTATGACTCTACATGCAAGCCTTTCTGAAATTCCATCGCATTAGCCCAACTTTTGATACGGGTAAGTCATTGCCCTCTTTTGCGATGAAAGACACACTGTAATATCTTACTTAGCTGCAGTTAACGGTTTCAATGATAATTATGGTCTTAATTCGCAAGGATTATCTTATCTTATATCTTACCACTTCTTGCGACGGGTGGTGCCAAATCAGAAGCAGATGATAAAGGTCTTGATGAAGGACTTAGTCTCTGAGAAACCGGTGATGTACTTCTAGATGCCTGCATAGTAAATTTTAATTCTACTTCAATTTTACTTCTACTTGTTCTTAATAGAATCTCAGACCAACAAATAAAGAAAGACGGAGCGCTGGGTACATTTTAAATGACGCAATATCCAAGCTCAATTCATTGTAAAAATACTCATTCACGTACACATATGCATCTAAAATCATTTGCCACTAACAATATAGTTTTAGTCGCATATGTGTGCGTTCAGCAGTGGACTTTTACTGGCTGACAAAGAAAGAAAGATGAAGGATTTGTGGGCTAGTGCGTGTAAAGAAGTTAAGCATAGTTTAGAGATCTCTTGAAATGTACTCAGCGTATAAACAATAGCTAATATACAATATTTACCACATTACAAAAAAACAAAACTACGATTTTCATATAACCCTACTTAAATTGTAAATCTCACTTACGTTTTACGAAATACAACAACTTTTTCGTAAAACCTATTTTTCAGTAAAAGGCCACAAGTATGTGGTGTGATCTTTGAGAGGTCAATATTTCTGCTGACTCTCCTCCTTTATATTGTCTATCTTTAAATTTTTTTTTATAGGATAAGGGTGACAAACGAGCACACAGTCCACCTGATAAGTGGTTGCTGCGGCCCATAGACATCTACAGTTATCCTCAATTAAGAATAAAATGCAGATGCGTTGTCACCCCTGAGGACTAAGAATATGGAATGCCTCTTTTCCAGTAAAAAGGGTCTCCGGTTCTCTACACTCACCATACAAAACACAGCATTTTGTTAGGCTGCTATTTTACGCTGGTATCCTGAAAGGGCGTGCCGACCCATTCGTGCTACAACTATACTACTAATATAGCTGCAGCATGGCTCTACCACGTATAAGTGGTGGTGGGACGTATATATAGGTTGTAACTTAACTCTTAACATTTGACGCTCCGTGGCGAAGTGGCTTTGCAGAGAGCTACGGCGCTGAGCGGCGCGAGTTCGAGTCCCCCACGGAACAAGTATTTGTGTGGCCTACAAATAATTGTCCCGGGTCTGGAAGTTCGTGTTTGTGCAATTTTTGTATGTCAACTGCCCCTAGCAGAGAAAATTCTAGTTAAGGTTTTTTTTAGAGGATAGGGCGACAAACAAGCACGCAGCCTACCTGATGGCAAGTGGTTGCTGTGACCCATAGACATCTACATTTATCCTCAATAAAGAATCAAAATGCAGATGCGTCGTCACCCGTGAGGCCTACGATGGAATGCCTCTTTTCCTAATGGTAAATGGGTCTCCGATTCTCTACACTCACCATACGAAATGCAGTAGTGTCAAGTCACGATTTTACGCTGGTATTGTGTGTGAGCGTGGTCTTTCCCAGGTCGAGCCGACCCATTCGTGCTACAACTATACTACTAATATAGCTGCAGCATGGCTCTACCACGTATAAAAGGTATTGTCAATACTAACGTTTGCAGACGCTGGACTAGTTATACGAACAACAGGAGACGAAGCTCTGTTAGGAACAACACTTGGGTTTAGGAATCCTCCTACTGTAGGACCATCACCTGCGGAAAACAAATACATTAAACAAATACGAGTAAAAAGTGTGCGCAAGAATTATTGTTGATATTCGACGCATTAGAACTAAACGGTTTTGCTTCGACTTTTATAATGCGTACCGCTAAGGAGTGGAATAATTTGCCGGCGTCTATCTTTCCGTCCGAATACAATCTGGGCGTCTTCAAGGCAAGAATGAATAGGCTTTTGTTACGGTAAGACAGTGCGATTTACCATATAAGGCTGCATCACCACTTACCACCAGATGGGACTGTGGTCAAGCACTGGCTTATAATAAGTGGTCAAGTACTGGCTTGAATACACTCTCAAACTATATACACAAATCATAAATTATTTGACTTCAGCTACATTTTTGGCGTGTAAAATCCATAAAGACAGACGGAGTTGAAATATACATAAATAAAATGATGGAGGTTTGCAGTTGTGTGCGCATTACGGCAAAACTACAAGGCCAAGTGTCTAAGAAGTTTTATTTCTTAGACATTTGGGCCTTATCTAAAAAAAATTTGCGATATCTTCATTTAATATAAATTTATTAAAGTTGTAAGACAACGATTTTTATAAGCACTACGTGTTCAGTGATATGTGTAAGTAACGCGGACGATGTCGCGGATATCAGCTAGTATACTATAAAGAGACAGAAATCTAATGATTTGACATTATACATATGAAAAGAAAGAAGTAAAAAAAATTTTTTTTATAGAATAAGATGACAAACGAGCACACAGTCCACCTGATGGTAAGTGGTTGCTGTGGCCCATAAACATCTACATCTATCCTCGCTTGCGAATCAAAATACAGATGAGTTGTCACCCGTGCGGACTAAGATGCAATGCCTCTTTTCCAGTAAAATATCTGAAATGTCTCCGGTTCTCTACACTCACCATACGAAACACAGCAGTTTTAAGCTGCTATTTTACGCTGGTATTCTGTGATAGCGTGGTCCTTCCCCGGTCGAACCGACCCATTCGTGCTACAACTAAACTACTAATATAGCTGCAGCATGACTCTATCACGTATAAATATAATTCTAATGAAAAAGTAGTGCAGATAAATATTAAAGGATTTCATAACTGGACCTTTCCAAGGAGACTTAGGCAGAGAAGAAACATTCCCAGAATGACGTCTTACTTCTGTTGATATATCTTTTATGAGTTCCAATAATGTATTATCAGGAGCCAATGACACCTCTATGGGCGATGATCCTCGGGATAACTCTGTCAATTAAATAAATAAAAAATAATTAAATTTATTATATAATATGAAAATAGAAATATAAATTAAATCAATAATATTTCTTTTAATTTCCGTTTATTGCATCATGTGAGCATTTATATAAGCAATACTATATCTATGAACAACAAATTACGAGTAATTAACCGTGTAGTGGTGGTGTAAGTCTAAGAATATCTACTACCTCCCATATTGTCTCGTGGGTGTCGTAGGAGGCGACAGCGGGAAACTGAAACGGAAGATGGGCAACTGTAGCATAATCGGCACGAGAAACTGTTATGTTCAGATTATCTTTCATGCTTATTCAACAGTATTTTTAAAATATTATACAAATAAAGATATAAGAGCTAATAAAAAAATTACCCGGTAGTGGTGAGCGCGTCACAAGTTTTCTGGCTTCGTCCATAGCCCTCTGCAAATTCTGCTGATTCTTGAATGACTGTCTAGTACGACAGCGACCGATTTGCGTACTGACAATATATGAAACATTATTTTTTAATAAACTTTTTTTTAAATAGTAGTTAGAGTAAGCAATAATAAAATAGGTCTTAAAGAAGTATAAGGCGAAATATTAAATATTTTAGCCAATCTTATCTAAAAGAAAGACTACAGGTGGTAGGACTCGATTTCTGACTGAGTCCGTTTGGTACAGCTTAGTTTTAACTATTTCTGCAGTGTACAACAGTATAATTGTGTTCCCGTATGAGGAGTATAGAGAACTACTAGTAGTAGTAGATTACAGAATGTGAGGCATTCGCTCTCAGATCGTGACATGAAGCTGTCCATGGACTGCAGTACCCACTTACTATCAGGTGAACTATAAGTACCTTTGTCACATCCACACTTTATACAAAAAGGACAAAAAAAATAATCAAAGCCCTTAATGAAGCTCAGATTCCTAATTGTTAGGAACCAATGGAATGAAGAAAAGACGTTAACGTTGTTTCATTAGGTATTGGCAGGTTTCACAAACTCTTGAAATAATTTTTTTTGGATTAAAAGATTTTCTTTATATTTTTTTCTTAAAAAACTTCATTTACCGATTGTGTAGTAGTCAATTTAAACAAGCTCAAAGAGCCTGCCATAACATTAAAATATGCAGTTTATTTTGGAATAGAAACAAAGTCTTTATGTTCAGTGGCCTCCGTTTTTCGATGTCGTACTTGTAAAACAAAAGCAGACTTGCATTGAAATTTTAAGCAACCCATTACTCATTCTGTTGGTTTTACAAAAACTTAACGAAATATTTCGGATACCAATCAGTATGCCAAACTAAATCAGATGCTGGTGATGTGAAAAGATATCTAATATTGAGATTTCTTCAAAAGCAAATTAATTCAAAGAAATAGGTACTAAGATTTCATTCTTATATGACAATTAGGTGCTGCTGATTTTAAGGAATATTCTTTTTTTTTAATATGTTTAATTGAAAGTAAATGTATTGTTTTTTATTAAGATTTATTACTTTTGTTTTTAAGTAATAATATAATCTGCGAAAATGAAAGCAAACACTTACGAAATACCAACTCCAGCGAGAGTTTTGTCCCACATTGAATTACTATTTGTTGAAATTGCCATCTTGGCAATTCTTCTGAATCTAGCCAAGGCTGTTTCATGCCTTTCATCATCATCTAATGGCGGTACTGGAGCTACTTGGAAATCCTTCATAAGGCGACGCTCCCAAATTTTCGTACGTTTTGCAAGGACCGCTGTAAATACCATAATTAATTAACCAAAATGTGTAGTGGCAAATATATCACCCTACACCACGAGAGTGTCTTTGGAGATAAACTAGGGTAATGCTCACAAGATCTTCTGGCTCTCTGGTTTTTAGAAGGTGGTGGAATAACTATTTTGTATTTATGTCAACTACTGGCCGTATGAGAAAGCTCAAGGAGAGGGCTATCCTCGGGGTTTCTCTGCGTGATAGACTTAAAAATGAGGTTATCCGCAGTAGAACCAGATTAACCGACATAGTCCAACGGATTAGTAAGCTGAAGTGGTAATGGCCCGGCCATATAGCTCGAAGAACCGACAACCGATGGGGAAGAAAGTTTCTCGAGTGGTGGCCTCGTAACTGTAGGCGAAGGGTTGGATGGAGTGACGACCTGATAAGACGAAGAAGAAGCTAACTTTGCCTAAACACATTTTGCTTATGTAACATTAAAAAAAATAGATTTTTATTGATATCGTCTATTTTCTATCTACGAGTACTTACTCTTTTCTTTCCTGTCTGTAAATGATACATCCATTCCGTTCTTCTCAAATACTTCTAATAGTTCATATCTCAGAGCTGAGACATCACTTTTGAGTTCGTTAATATTCTCTTCTGTGACCGGTTCTTCATCCATCTTCCTGTGCGTTGACGACACATATCGCCAGACAAGAGCACGCATGACAGCTGTATAGCGGATGTCGTTTTCTTTCTCTTTCTGTTCCTGTTATAATATGAGGAGATTATAATCACTATTGACCCATAAACAGTTATCTATAGAAATTATTTTTTTAATGTTATAGATAACGATTATTTTTTACGATGTTTTTGGGTTCCGTACCTCAAAAAGAAAAAACGGAACCCTTATAGGATCACTTTGTTGTCCGTCTGTCTGTCAAGACCTTTTTTCTCAGGAACGCGTAAAGGTATCAAGCTGAAATTCATATCAAATCTACTGTCCCTTAAAGCTGTGAAAAAATCAAACTTCCAAGCCAACGCAATCAAAAGATACAGCCGTTTATGCCGCAAATTTTCCATATTCGCAAGGGAATCAAAACCTACAGGGTACTTCCCGTGAACTCAGAATCTTAAAATTTGGTACGAAGCAACGTATTATAGCACCGATAAAGGAAAAATTGCGAAAAGTATAAATTTTTAGTTACATCATAGAATACAAATATTTTTAATAATTTTAAACTTATATACCTACGGATTTGTTCGGAACCCTCGGTGCACGAGTCCGACTCGCACTTGGCCGGTTTTTTTTTAGCATAGGAACGAATGGTATCACAAATCTAACCCTGACTATAAATAACGTGCAAATGTGATCTTTATATAAGGAATTTCAGCTAAATACTAACCCTAAATAAGTAATTTTTACCTTTACCTTCATTTTTCTTAACTTGTCTTTTTGCCTAAGACCCGACAATTTGCAGAACAACTTTGGTGTGGGAAATATGTTGAAAGGCGGAGGCAACGTTGCATTTTCCTCAAAATAGCTCATCCACAAGCGGGCACGTGCAAACTTCCATTCAACGTCAGAATGTTTCTGTGGAGTTTAAAATATTATTAATCTATTCTATATGTCTACTTCAATAATCAACCAAGCTTAGTTAAATAAGTGACACCTTTTTCCTCTACTTTCTATCTCTCTTTCTTTCAGAACAGTGAACATAAACAAAACATGAAAGCATTCCTAGCTGCAATAAATGACCCAACGCAAATTCAGCTGATGTAGATGTGGCTCATCAGCACAGCTCAGTTGAAAGTTAGAGTTTGGCCGAATACCGTCGCTATTGTAATACTGATTAATTATAATTTACATTGCACCTCATAAAATAAAATGTCCCATGCAACGAATGACAAGCACAATGGTGTTATATAGATAAACGTTGTAAGCGACTTATATGTTTTATGGCAAATGAAACCAATAACTATCGGTACATAAGGTCAGCTTTTTAATACGCGTACCGAGTCAAGATGAAATTCATTAAGCTAGGGCTAATCAGTCATGAAGTATCAATGTGTGAGTTTGTTTCAAATATTGTGCCATATAGCGCGCTTTTGCCTATAAATAATATTTCGTTTCATGTTTTATTAGCGTTTACCCATCTTAATAATATTATGTTGAACGGAATTTCACTATTATTTCAATTTTAACATTAGTTGATGAACGAGGTTCATGCGCGATCTAGAGATCATATAATCAATAGGAATATAGATTCTCGAAATGTTTCGTTTCCCATTACGATCCGTTTCATTACATTCAAAGCCCATAAGAAGCGTTTTCTTTACAAACTATTCATCATTTATCATCATCATCATTACAGCCTTTCATAAGTCCACTGCTGAACATAGGCCTCCCCCAAGGAATGCTACAAAGCACGGTCCTGAGCCATCTGCATCCATCGACTTCCTGCATGTCTTACCAGGTCATCACTCCATCTCGTGGGGGGTCGCCCTACACTTCGCCTACCGGTACGAGGCTGCCACTCAAAAACCTTTCTTCTCCATCGGTTGTCGTTTCTTCGAGCCGACTATATGGCCGGCCCAGTGCCACTTCAGCTTACTAATCCGTTGGGCTATTTGTCCCAGGTAAACATACTCATCAACAACTTCAAGCTTAGTGCTCCCAACAATTACCGGCATAGGTGTGACATGGATATTAAATATTATCAATATTATGAATTGAATTCATTGAACGCACATATATATTATTTGCCTCCACTGGTTGAATTGAGCAATTTAAAGTTACCGAACCAAATTAAAATCAAATATAACTTACGTCAATCATAGCATATGAGTTAGACATCATGGCAATGAGAAGATTCAAGAGGACAATTACGTTGATCACGGAGTACGATCCAAACATAAGTAGACCCCAAAACCTCGTGTAACTCTTGATTCCGGCCAATTCGAAGCTGTCAAGGCCTACCAAGCCAAAAGAAGCCCAGAAGAGGGACTGAGACGCTTCGAATACACTGGCAAATAAGAAAAAAATAGGAAATAATTCAGGCTTATTATCATAATAGCTTTGCCGTGTGATGGCGACGTAATAAAACCCATTACACCATTTTAGCCCTTGGATGTTGTATAAAGGAACTATGGGAAATGTCAAAAAGGTCATAAAGATTACGTTACATAATGGTATAACTTAAAAAGAACTATACGGGACATAAAAGGAACTCGATCAACTAATAATTTTAAGCTTTTAGTGTGTTAAAAAATTACCAGAACTGTGATGGGCAGTTGCTTTAAACGCGAGACATTGTTGGTCTGCTACGCTTCAGTGCGTGTTGGCAAACTTTACATGTTCTCAAAAATAATTCATCCAACCATAAATTTTCTTTTTAATACATACTTAGAAAAAATTCATCGTTTTTTTTTTCATGAAACATGTTGATTTTTTTAAAATAAGGGTGGCACACAATCCACATGAAGGTAAATGGATGCTGTGCCTCAAAATGCAGTATGAAACAAAATGCAGATACGTTTCCACCCCTGAGGTCTAAGTAGAAAGACTTTATGAGTCTCTACACTCACCATATGAAACACTATTTCACGCTGGTATTCTATGAGAGCGTGGTTCTTCCCCGGTCGAGCTGACCAATTCGTGCTAAAACCATAATATAGCTGCAGTACAAATTTATAACGTATGATTTACCAAGTTTAATTAATTCATAGCAAGAAAAACAATCATAAGTGCATATACTTTTAATTTGTCTAATCACATACATATAATGAATATTATACAAATAATAATTATTCCTTCGAAGCGAACACACAATAAGTTACAAACATTTTAGCTGGAGGGTAAAAATTTGAATGTCGATGCGTGCAGATTTCTCGAATCAAAGCAAGTACTGCTAATTGTTAACTATTTCATTTTAATATGCATGATAATCCATAGTTGCCCGTAATGTCATACAATCCACTTCATCGATTTTTAAAGTATTCATCTTGACATTAATATCCTCTTCTAATTGGATTTGTGTTTGTAGAAGATATCTTAAGGAGGCAGTCGCTTCGTGTAGCATTTGTTGCAGTTGTTCCACGCTATGTCTTAACATTTCACATTCGTAATACAATGCCTGACCAGGTGGGTCACGGACCAATTCTGCACCGACTCTCTGAGCACGTCTGCCAAGTCGGGTATGTGCCAATGCTACATTCCCTTCTTTGTCTGATAGTGCTTTCTGCAACTGAAGAATATTGTTCTGCATTTCCATAATTTTCTGAGTTGTTTCCCGATGCATATCCTCTAGTTTCGCTTTTGCACCCTTAGTCTCTTTAATGCGTTCATTAAATTCATGGTTGCATTTATTGTAAGCAGCCCATAGATCGTCAATAACTTGATTTAATAATGTATCAATAAAGACCCGAATAGGTCGAGCGCTAGTTACTTCCCTAGCAGCTAATTTAATATTGTTAGCTGAATAAGCATTATACTCTTCAGCAGATATGTTTGCTGGGTCTAGATTTGCAAAACCTTCGTAAATAGATAGGCACAAGTCAGTAGGTTTCAAAGATAGCGATCCTTTATCCAAATCAATAGCAGCTTGCTTGTATTGAAGATCACGGTCAAGAAGATAGCGAGTAGATCGTAGACGCCGCATCTGTTCGTTGAGTTGTTCTAAGGCACGTTTTAGTAAGCTCTGAGCTCCAAGAATCGTTGTTATTTCTTGTTGTAACGCATGCTCCACATCATCTACCACCAAATCGATACCAATACGTCCATCTCTCAACATAAGGCACTTTCGACAAATTGTTAAAGCGTTTGATTCCAAAGATGCTAAACAATCTTGTAACCTTGTTTTATACACACTCAGCGCTTCTAACTCCAAGCATATTTCTTTCCTCTGTATTTGAAGCTCATTTTTATTGAACTCTACATCTCCAATACGTTCTTCAATGCGCCTGTCACTAGTGGCTTTCATTATGGCAGCTCGCTCAGCGGTTTCATCGCGCACTCTCTCGGACTCACTCAACACTCTATCTGCAAGCTGTTGTTGATCTTCTGTATTTCTGCAACGTTGATCGTTGCTCAGCGTCCATTCTCCTAAAGTAAATTTAGCAGCTCTAGGTGGAATACAAACTATGGCTTGTTCGGCTAATCTTGTTGTCGCAATAGGGGCGCCAATAATATGGCGAACGCCGAACTGTGTTTCATTCATTTTATACGATTTAAGATTTTGTTATAAATACACTTAATTTTTACAATTTTATATTACGTCCGTATTAATAACACAATTAGCAATACTATCGGGCTACACGACTTTACGCTGTTAAATCGACAAAACAATTTTTGATTACCATGGTAACGTAAGGAATACAACTTGATATTTACAATCACCATAGAAATCACGATTGTTTGAAAATCTTAAATCTCTAATACAATACAGTCATTCGGGGTAACTTTGATTAACAAGGGCAACTTTGACAGTCAAATCGCAAAATACTTTTTTATAGTGCACAAAATTTAGTGCATAACATTAAATTTATATAATTCGTGTACTTAACAAACTTCGTAAACGAACTCTCTGGAAAAAAAAAAGGTATCTTACAAAGTTAATGTTAAAAACTTATTTAAAAGTACCGCACGCAACTGTTGTCTTTTTGCAGTGGTAAACTTTTAAAATTTTAAATGTGATTACCAAAGAGTTTAAATAAAGTTAGAACTACAACTTTATAGTTTTATTGTCTTGTATATGACTCCACTGTATCTGAAATTTGTTAAAAACTTAAACTTATGTTACCCTGAAGCTATAAAATGTTTAAAAGATAAAGTTCCTGCGACAAATCTCATCTGTGTCAAAGTTATCCATATAGGGGTTATGACTTTGACACACAACAAAATTGCCAGTTTTTGATATATTTTATGATTTTTATAGACTTTAAATATGTTGAGAGTATGAAAACCAACCTGAGAGCAAAGATTAAGTAAACTCTTTTGTCTCATATTTAACATAGTAAAAGTTAACTAAAAAATATAGTGATGATCTGTCAAAGTTACCCCGATTGGCTGTAATCTATGTCTCAAAAAAAGGTTACTTTATAATTTGATATTCTGTATTTATAATTCTATTGAATGTTAAATACATAGTAATATGTTTATATTTTATTTTACTTATAATGGACGTTGAGAATTGAAAATGGATTAGATAATTTTTTTTTCTCCTTATATTGTAATTCTGTAATTTGTATATGTAGGAGGTCAGTGTGTAAAATCGATTTTCATGATAGTTGCAGACGTGTGAATATGTGTACAATTATTTTTCGAAACATTTAAATATATATATTAGGGTGACAAACGAGCACCCAGTCCATCTGATGGTAAGTGGATGCTGTGGCACATAGACATCTACATCTATCCTCCTTTGCGAATCAAAATGCAGATGCGTTGTGATCCCTGAGGACTGAGATGGAATGCCTCTTTTCCAGTAGAAAGGGAGGCTCCGGTTCTTTAAACTCACCATACGAAACAGATAGACTTAGATGTGTATGAGCCGTAGCGTCCACTTACCATCAGATGAAAGATGTGCTCGATTATCAACCTGATATCTGTCTCGATAATCCGTGACAAATGAGCACACAGTCCACCTGATGGCAAGTGGACGCTGTGGCCCAAAGCCCTCAAACTCATAAAAATATTGCAAATAGGTAAATATTTAAAAAAAATCGCACATTTATTTGCTAACGACCTCTAGTCATAAGTTTATATTTTTTTCTAACTTACTTTCCAAAACTACGCCACTTCATACATGAGTCCCCTGCATTGTCCCAGTCGGGTAAACCTCCGGGCAATACGTAACATTTCCGTTTCTCCAAATCAGCAAAGTACCAAAGCAACTGATTCAGACCTGTTTCCAATATGAATGAGAATTTAATAAAAAAAAAAATTAAATGTCGCTGCTAAAAATATGTCGGTCGGTGGACTTAAGCCTCTTCAAAACAGTTATAGTACATTTTCTCAAAGACAAACTTATATATAACAAATTAAAAGTTTTTAAACAATTAATTAGCTAGTAAAACGACATAATGAGCCGTGGTAGCTCATGGGCCTAGAGCTCGCTTTAAATTTTATAATACGCGATCAATCCGGGTTCTATTCCCGCCGACAGCAATGAAATTGTTAATTTCAATTTTAAGTGCTGATTTACCACATGCTCGGTGGTGAAGGAAAACGTCGTGAGGAAACTTACCAGTTTGACAAATAAAAAAAATTGGAAGACATGCGTGGAAGGTTTACATGTTTTTCTCCATCTCCTCGGATGTGTGACTATGTATACGAGAGGTACCACTCGAGCACAAGTCCCTCGGCCGAGCCTTTTGAAACGAAATCTAGCAAGAGCACTTGTGCGAGAGTGCACAACCGCCTTTAAAACTATACCGCACCGAGCATTTCACACGCAAACTCAGTGTGCGTAGCTAGTCTGTTCTGCCCTTTATATCCGAATATAAAAAACGTTTTATATAACAAAAATATAATAGAATATTTATTCATTTAAGTTATAAATAATGAAACTAATAAAGCAATGAATAAAGAGTTAACAAACTCACTCACCACAAGCAAAGGCAAAGAGAACCAGACTATAGATAAAAAAGAACTTGACTATGTCGATAACCATACGACCGAGGGAGATCTGCAGCGGTCCCAGGTGCGGGTTAATAGAGAAAAGGTGCAACAACTTCAAGGCACTACAACAGATTCCAAAAAATAATCATAGACAAGCAATCACATAGTATAAATAAATATCACAGAATAATGTAGTGGGACTGCTTATGTACCTAAGGGATCGGTCTGGGTAGGTCTGAACCATATTCGTACCTATTTTTTTATATAGAATATGGATGAAAAGCGAGCACTGAGTCCACCTAATGATAAGTTGACGCTGCGGTCCATAGACATCTACGTTTATCCTCAATTAAGAAGCTGATGATCTGAACACTGAGATGGAATGCCTCGTTTCCCGTAAAAAGGGTCTCCGGTTCTCTACACTCACCATACGAAACATAGCAGCGTTAAGCTGCTATTTTACGCTGGTATCCTGTGAGAGCGTGGTTCTACCCCGGTCGAGCCGACCCATTCTTGCCACAACCATAATATAGCTGCAGTATGGCTCTACCACATTAAAAACTATTTTTTATTATATTTGTGCCGTCATGTAACAGTGCATATACTCTTGTGTTCCCATCTAAAGAGTATAGTGAGTTAATACAATTACAACTACATTCCATTCCAAGTCCTCAGAGATGACGACATATCTGTATCGTCTTAATTTGATGTTGGTTGCAGGTGTCCATGGGCTGGAGTAGCCAATTACAATCACGAGGTCTTTAAGTTCGTTTTTCACAAATTTAAAAAAATAATAATTACACACACGTATTTATCCGAAGGTTCGGTATCCGTTATAGGTAGCACATAATAAGCAAAACTTAAATTAAATACACAATTATATTATTCAAATAGTACAAATGAAGTTTATTATGCGAAGTTAACTCGGAATCTCCTTTATGTACATTTTTACCCGCAATCTCCTTTATGTAAATAGAACTTGAATAAAATACTTTTATTAAACCTTTACGCTCTCACAAAATTGGGCTTCAATAAAATGAGGTGAATAGTTCATTCAACCTTCTGAAGATAGCATACTGTTATTATTAATAACAAATATTATATTATAGTAACATATTGTTATAATATTTTATGATGATAATAATATTATAACAAATTATATTAATAAGAACTAAGAATAGGGATGGAAAACTTGCGCCTGAAATTATTATGAAATTAGGTATAATATCCTTGTTTATGGCCTGTTGACCGTTGTCAATAAAGAGTATTATTATTATTGTTGATGTTTTTATACTGTATATATTATTTTAATGTATATTATTTTATACTTTATTGCAACAAAAATTCTGTACAAAAGGAGAGCTTAATGCTATATGGCATGCAAAAAATACATATAATTACATATTATGTAATTTTATATTTTATCTCTGATTGCTTTAATGGATCTAACACTAATTAATGTATATTCTTATATCAACAAAAAAGAATAGACAAAGCACTGCATACATTTAATGTGACCGACGCTGAAACCATGCTCGACTTCTGAACACTTACTTCCGCACAACTGGACGCACTCATATCCATCTAAAACCATGTTGTTAGTTTTTACAATAAGTTATATAAGCATGGATTTGACTCAGTTTTGGTGACACTATAAATGTACGCAGCCTTCCGTCTATTTTTAACCGACTTCAAAAAGGAGGAGATACTCAATTCGACTGTATGTTTTTTTATATGGGTTGCTCAAAACATTTTTCTAGGTGAACCGATTTTGATGATTCTTTTTTTATTTGAAATCTGGTGTTTTTTTTTGTAATCCCATATAAATTTGAGCAATGTCTCACCAGTAGTTTTTGAGTTATCTTTAAATAATTTATATTATTATAGAAGGCTCCGTGGCTCAGTGGCTTTGTAATGAGTTGCTGCGCTGGGGACCGCGGGTTCGAATCCCGCATGGAACAAGTATTTGTATGGCCTACAAATAATTGTTCCGGGGCTGGATGTTTGTCCTTGTGCAATTTGTGTTTGTAAACTGCCTCCACGATACAGGAGAAAATGCAAGTGTGGGGGTTACGTTTTTTTAAAAAAAAAGAAATAAAAGAAAAAAGAATTGAAGTCGGTTGTACAATTTTACCACTTGTTGCTGATCTGAGTGTATGGTTTCTATGTAGGAGTACGTCTAGGTTAGTAAAAGTAAAGTAAAGTTCAGCCTATATGCTGTCCATTGCTGGGCACGGGCCTCCTCTCACTTCTGAGAGGGTTTTAAGGCAAGGAAGTGTCCTTGTTCCCTGCACTGCCCCAATGCGTGTTGGCGTACTTCACATGTCTTCGAAATATTTTTATTTTCTTATATTTCTCACATATGCAGGTTCCGGCAGGTTCAAAATTGCAGGCTGTGGTAGCTCAGCGATTTAGCGCTTGCTGTAAATTCACAATACCCAAGCAACCCGGGTTCGATCCCACCGGCACCAATGAAATTGTTTAGGTTATACTCAACCAAATCTAAGAAATACGTTTGACGTGTCACATTAATCATTCCGCAATAACTTTGTACAAGCGTACTCACAAGATTTAAAATAACCTTTTACGTAAATTCAAAGAATTATGTAGTTATCTATATTACATTACAACATAGGTATATAGCTCTTTATCACTAATTCAAGTTCGATTCTTTCAGAAAAAGCAAAATGTAAAAAAATAACTAGAGTCAACTTTTTTGCCTGACGTTATTTCAATGATATATCGCTATGTACCTTACCGTAGTGTTGGAATGATTAAAATTCATTGTTATGCGGATAATCGGTAAAAATATTGAATTAATCCGAATCTTCAGATGATTTAATTTATTATTTGTTTATTTAAATTTTATTTTTAGAATTGCTTAAATTATATGAATCACGAATTAAACAAGTTTATTTATTTTATAACTTCCTACTTTGTCAGTGTAAATTTGTGTAGGCAAAAAAATTCATATGCAAAGCCACGCCGAAACAAATACTACGTAATTCCAATCTCGCGCCATTTTGGGAGCTTACTGTGCGTACTTTTGTGATTTTGTGTTTACCTTATTTTGTGACTCGTCTATAACTTTTTGGACTGATTCTATTATATTAGTTAACCTTGACAAGTTATATACATAGGAATATCATAAACAATAATATCTCATATTACTATTTATGATATTATCTAAATAAGATTATCATACTGCGGCTTAGTTGCAAGAAAGTTTAGTAGATGGCGGTTTATACAATGGTAGTCTTTGAGAACTATTTTAAAACACATTTGCGCTTCCGATACAAAAAAAAAGATAAACGCAAAATAATTATGGAGAGGAATGACATAGCTTCATTAATAATATAACATTTTTTAAGAGAAATGAAAAATATAACCAATTGGGACAACATCATATTCGTTGATGAAACGATGACACTGCAGCATTTTGCTCGAAGGTACTCATGGGAAAAGGTGATGTGGGATTCGCTGGAGGAAGATATGTAGAAAATTGTTTATTAGCTTTCCACTCGAAGAGTACAAGAGAATACAATGAGGAAATGGATGCAGAATAGTTATAATTTATATTTAAAAATGTTTTACAACTGACTTTAAATTCTTAAATTATTAAGAAGAACTCAAAAGCTATTACTGTTGTACGCTTAAAACTGTTGTACGCTTAAAAAACGTTAGCCCCTAGGATTTTCTTCTGTATCGTGAAGGCAGTTTACAAACATAAATTGCACGAGGACAAATGTCCAGACCCGGAACAATTATTTGTAGGCCATACAAATACTTGTTCCGAGCGGGATTCCAACCCGCGGACCCCAGCGCAATAACATATTGCTAAGCCACTGCGTCACGGAGTCGTCAAATTATATCAGTCAGACCTTGATCAAATTTATATGGGACTACATGAGAAACACGAGCTTTCAAATAAAAAAGAATCATAGAAATCGTTTCACCCAGATAAAAGTCATAATGTAGCACACATAAAAAACATGCGTGAGTGTCGTGGAACACTTGGTTGGAACGAAGTTCTTTTCGTAGTACATTATTATTGATAAACGTATTATATTATTGATTACGAAATAAGTGAATTACTAGCATCTATTAAAATGAAGCGTCATTTATAATAAAATAACATTTCTTTCATGACAAGATAAGAAAATTCGTGAGGGGGTCTACACTACGTCAGAAGGGGCCGTGACGGAAAAATCTTACAATTTTTCTCGCCTAGCCCACATCCGCCAAATACGTACCGTCCAATAAGGAAGTTCCGAAATAAAAAAAGAACAGTCGAATTGAGTACCATCTCTTTTTGGAAGTCGGTAAAAAAGAGTGGTTTACAAACCTTTTACAAAATATTCCTGCGAATGTCACAAGACTACCACCATACCACTACCATTATAATGCTATTGAATTGATTTTGGCCCAAATCAAAGGCTAGTTCTTATATGAAATGCTCTTAATTCAAACATATTATTAACTATACTTAAACCCACACAAAATGGAAATATCTTTAGCTTTGTAAATAAAATGGAAGGTTTGCTGAATGAAGCATATACCCATGTCACAAAGACCAATTGGGCTAAAGTGGTGGAGAAGACAAAGAAAATTACGAGTACTATGGATGACTTTGAAAGAACATTAATTTTGATACATTATTAATCTAAATAAATATAATATAAATCCAATAATAATTAATCTAAATAACGACAGCTCTACTAGTTTTAGTGAACGTAACGTAAAAAGTAATTTTAAATTTATACAATTTTGCCTCTAGATATAATCAGTAATAATAAATACGAAGAAACTGATAACTCTTGTGTTTTAAATTATCCGTTTCTAATTTATTCTGGTATTAATGGAAACAAAACTATAAATGATTACCAACTCTAAAGAATCGATATCGATTTTTCTAAAGAATCGAATATTGTACGTACCGATTTTTTGGTTGGCATGCCTAGTCTGATAGCTGTCAAAACGTATTTCATAGATTTGGTTGAGTATAGTACCACATAATAATTCTGCCGCCAAGCCACGCACAGCAATCATCGAGTATGAAGAATCGCGAAAACAATATAAATGCAGACTGAAAACCTCATAGCTGACAATGAATCTATGACTTTCCTTAAAATTAGTTGCTGGTGTCCATGAGCGTTTTATATTATGATCGTAGATAAAAAATGTTTTGTTGTTGACAAGCAAGAAGTACTAACCTATATATTCGCAGCAGCAAACAACCCCTCTGCTATAAGCTGAGGGTCAAACGCGTCCCACTGTTCCCTTGGAATAAATCTGACTTGTGGGTTCCTTTTTATTTCGGCTGTTTGTTGAATGTAAGCCACAAAACGTAAAAGCGCCACAGCGACGTAAAGGGAATTGCGTGTGAAATCGATAAAATTCCACAAGTTTCGGAGATAAGAACGGATTCCTTCTACGTAAATTTCCTGTGTCTCTTCCCAGATGAAACCTAGGGTAAAAGCCAATGTTTGAATAAAACGAATAATATGAAAATGGTTGAAATAAACAAACTACAGTCTCCTTGTTTTCTTACCTAAAACATAAATAAAAACTGCAATTTCCAAGTACGTAGGTACGTTCCCTCTCTGTTTTAAAAGTTCTTTATTGAGATCTTTGACCATCTGTTCAGATCCGAATACTTGAACCAGTTGCACTTCAGCGCGTTGTGATACCAGAATTAGAATCACTGTTGGCAGTAATATAAACATAATCTATATACATATAATAAATCTGTAGAAAAATTGCGTGTTCTCTGTAGAAAAAATCTGCAGAAAATTCACGCAAAAACTACCGAACGAACTTCCATGAAATTTTGTATGTAGGCAGTAAATGACCGTGTGTAACATATAGGCAACTTTTTCTCCGCTACTGAAGAGTTAAAAAAGGGTTATGTTTTTGCTTTTTTTTTTTTTAAGTTTATTGTCGTAATGGCCGCTGATGGTTCTATTATCGCTAAAGAGAACTTAGCTATTGGTATAATAAATCGATAGAAAAGTGTGTGTAAGTGTATGTGTGTGTGTGTGTGTGTGTGTGTGTGTGTGTGTGTGTGTGTGTGTGTGTGTGTGTGTGTGTGTGTGTGAAAATGAAACTCATCGCGCCACCAACCAGTAAGTGCAGAATAACGTCTGCCGGGCCAGCCAGTAATAGTCTAAACCTTTCCATTAATATAAAATTCACTAACCATAGGTTTCCCTTATAGATTGCCAGATAGGATTTTTTTTACTTTGGATTGTTATCAGGAGCTGCTATCCATCTTTTGTTGCAGTTTTCCTCTAAACATTTATTTTATTCAAATAAGGATGACATAATAGCTAGGTAGTTGGACTGCTTTCTGACCAGGGCCCGTATTAACGAGTTGAATGTAAATTCAAGAAAAACAACTTCCTTCTGCGTGAATCGCATTTCTCTGGTGCCCTTTGACCTACAGGACCCAAATTCAAACTCGACCGAGCTACTACCTCAAGGTATCCACATACCAAATTTAAAGTCAATCGGTCCAGTGGAACGGAAGTTATAGTGTCGGCATACAGACTAACAGACTGCCAGCTAAAACCATTAACCTCCTTTCAATGCTACGCAGAATGAAATTAATAAACGTTACTCAACGAAGATGCATAATCATTTGGTACGCCCTCATTACGATATCAGCATCTCAAGATCGTTGCTAATTAATAAACACATAAAACAGTATCTCAAAACGCTGTACTTAGGAATACTGTTCTGTGACTTGCACTCAAACAAACACACACACATATTTTATTTGAAGTTGACTGCAGGTGACTACAGGCCTCCAGGGACTGCAGCAGCTACTTACCATTACGTGGAATAGATTAGGTATATTGGTGGTTTCATTAAAAAAAAAAAACAAGTCGAAAAATAACAGTCCACCTTATAGTAAGTGGATTCTGTATTCACTTACACCTACATGTATTCTTGATTCGGAATCAAAATGCAGATAAGTTGTCACCCCAAAGAACTTAAATGAAATTCCTCTTTACCAGTAAATATCCGGAATAATCCAGATCTTGGTACTCAACATATTGTAAGACATTGGCTATGTCTTTGGTATTATGTTGCTTTTTAAGACGAATCTAACGACACATCATTTGTTAAATCCGTCAATCCGTTAAGCTACAGAGCGTGCCGAAGAAATAAACATACACACAACACACATACACTCAAAAAACATTACCCTACTTCTGGGGCAGTCGGGTAAAAATCAAGACAGTAGCGTAACTAAGGGGGCCCTTATCTGAAAAACAACGCTTACTAAATGAATACCTTTGATTCAAATATAACGAACACTGTAAAGTAGCAGATAGGAAGTTTCGAAAATAGACATAATCTGTACACACCCTCACACTCACATGCACACACACTTGGCAAGGAAGTATAAAGAACACATTACATATTATATGGTTTGTAAGGCCACACACTGTCAAGAAGTAGAGTTGTAGTTAGTTAATGAGCACGTCAAAAGGAAAAGATCACCAAAGTTAAAAGTTTAACAAAAGTAAAATAGTTATAAAGTTAGAGTGGCAAATCTTTCCTTGAGTAGTTGGTGTTTAGAAGGATGGTTGTTGACGTATTACCGATTGTGAGTTAAGTAAATTTAAATACACGCGACGCGCGGCTAAATGTAGGTTGCAGCGTTTACTAAATAAAAATGTGTGGTGTAACCATACACATATATTGTTTTATTCATTCCTAAATAAAATACAGAAAATATAACGACTTATACCGATTTAATATTTATAAGGATTTGAAAATAACGAGGTATTGGGGCGGCTTTTTTTACTCTAGCGGCCGAGAGTGGCAGCAATGCCACTTAATCAGAAACCAAAGCATTTAGATGAAACAAGAATCGAGCTTACTACTTTTTAAAATGCCGATAACGCAATGTTCTGGTGCTGCAGTTATTCATGGGTAACGTTGACACTTACCATCAGGTGAGATGAATACTCGTTTGTCCCCTCTTCTATAATAGAATGCTTAGAACTACTTATACTTATTGGTTATGAGGAAGGCTACTCACAAAGAAAGAACAGATAACTCGATGCATGGATCAAGAACTTCATAAAGGGCTTCCTCACCAGCTTGCCGATTTTGCAGTTGGGTGATATCATATACAGGCTGCAGTAGAACGGGAAAAGTAATGCGACGCGAAATATGGTCATGACCTTCGCGATAGCTGATTTCCGACGGAAACCTGGTACTCCTTCGTACCAAATGGAAGCCAACAGCTGTTGAATGTTTGGATGCGCTACAAACTAAGAAAAGAGCGTATTTCAAGTATTATAAATAATCAATATCCTATTAGCTATGTCTAAAATATCAACATAGAGCAACACGGGCCACCGGCGGACCGGAGCGGACTAGCCATATCATTTTTCCCGATACACTACTGTCTGTCATTTTTTGCGGGGGGAAATTTGCGCACACATAAACAATCGTCTGTCACTACGAAACTCACACATAACAATTAAAACAATAAACTGACATTTTTACACACACATAGATATAACACTATCGCTCCGTGACAGCAACAACTCCGATACAGAAAACAACAAACTCGGATCAGTCGATGAAAGGTCTTTCGCCATCTTTTTGTAAATTTGACGCGGCAGATCTCTTTTTGCAGCAAAATATTGAATAATTTAGCATTTTGTAGGACGTTGGTTTAGCTGCTGGATTTAGTCTAGTGAGCAGTGCGGCTGCAACCATCAGTATTATTATACACAAAGGACCGCGTGGTCTTATACTTTGACAGAGGGGAACGTCTGTGTATGGCTACTACCCTCCGGCCCGCCGGTGACTCGTGTTGCTCTATGGATATCAAAGAATCTACTACCTTCTTTTGTTTAAAGTTGATCGCCAACTCCAGCCTTGATAACTTCATATGTTCGCCTTCAATGAATGGCGCTTCCTTTGAATCATGATTAAGAATAACAGCCAGCTCTTGCGAGCTTCGTGACTGATCCAGAAGATCAACAGCAAACTTCTGAACTTGGCGACGTAGTTCCAAATATTCGGATTTACTCTCCTACAAAAGTTAAAAGTTAAATTAACAGCCTTTATACGTCCCACTGCTGGGCATAGGCCTCCTCTCATTTCTGAGTGGGTTTTAGGACAAGGAAATGTCCGCCGCGCTGCCCCAATGCGTGTTGGCAAACTTCACATGTCTTCGTTATATTTTTTTCTTACTTCTCAGACATGCAGGTTTCCTCATGATGTTTTCCTTCAACGCCAAGCACGTGGTAAATCAGCACTTAAAATTGTAACTAATAATTTCATTGGTGCCGGCGGGGATCGAACCTGGGTTGCTCGCGTACTGTGAAACTTACAGAGAGCGCTAACCATCTGAGTTACCACGGCTGTCCTACAAAAAACAGTTATTGTTGTGGACTTTCGGGGCGAATTTATCGCTAAAAATTGAGAGTACTTGTGCCACTTTGTGTTTGTTTCCGAAGAAAACAAATAACTAAAAGAATCGGAGACCGTTTTTCTAGTAACAATACATTCCATCATCTTCCCCAGGGGTCATCTTTTTGATTTTTATTTGATAATTGGTCTACCTCGCACGGTTTTGTGGAATCGGCTACCACCAGTGATTTTTTCGGACTTATACGCCTTAAGGACCTTCAAGAAAAGATCTTACTCTTTTTAAGAGATCGGCAATGGACCTGCAATTTCGCTGGTGTTGCAGTTGTTCATAGACGGTGGTAGTCACTTACCATTAGCTAAGCCATTTTTTAAAATCCCACAAAATCCACTTATCTATAAAGTTAATTACAGTAAAATATGTTCTAACCTGTTCAGCAAAAGCCATATTCCGGAGCTCCCATGACAACTCAAAAGCGGTGAGAATGGGATCAGTGGAAGATAATGCTATGAGGGAAGGAGATGCGAGGGCTCGATACTCGTTGAGACGTGCCAAGGTGTGCCGAAGGGAGTCCTCCGTAGAATTACAGATACATTCGTCGCACCCACACCTTTATCATGGGTAAATTGTTAAAGATTAGCTACCAGAGAAAGTAAATTTTGTGTAATAAAGAATTTTCTACCTATTTTTCTATAATTTTATTAGTTCCTTGTAGTATATCCGTCACCGGTTTATTAGAAAAATCTTACTCTGTTTCACTTGCCAAGGTCACCTCTGACGACACCAACGAGGTGAGATGGGATAATGGATTATTCGGATTGCCAACTAGTCAGTAAGGTTGTGGCAATAGTCTGGCCATATAACTCGAAGAATCAACAACTGATGTTTTTTGTGACATTCCTTGGAAAAAGCGTACGTTCAGCAGAGGATTTATGAAAGTTTGTAACGATAATGATAATGATACAGGGCTTGATTTAGTATCATGCCATAGATATTAATTTTTTTTATTCTTAATGTCCACCCAAAAGTCCACCTGATGGTAAGTGGTTGCTGTGGCCCATAGACATCTACATCTATCCTCGTTTGCGAATCAAAATGCAAATGCATTGTCACCCGTGAGGACTAAGATGGAATGCCTCTTTTCCAGTAAAGAGGATCTCCGGTTCTCTACACTCACTATACGAAACACAGCAGTGTTAAACTGCTATTTTAGGTTGGTATTCTGTGAGAGCGTGGTCCTTCCCTGGTCGAGCCGACCCATTCGTACTACAACTATACGACTAATATAGCTGCAGCATGGCTCTACCACGTGTTAAACTTATTTATTTATTTAAGCCCTTATTTCCCAAGAAATAGTTAAAAATTAAAATATTACATAATTTCGTTGCATAACTAATCATTTAAAAATTAAAATATTACAAAAAATTAATTACATCACTAATCATGAAGACCTAGTTTATTAAACAAACATTTAAATATAAAATTAGCAAGAACTTAGGGTAAATTTTATTAGTTATTGGGCATAAGTCAAGTTAAATAATAGAAATCAAATATCAATTAACTACATTTTTTAACTGTCAAATATAAAATAATTAAATGAGATTACACAATTAAACAATTGAAATTAATTAATAATCATAATAAAATATGTAATGGTTAATTATAATAGGTTATGAAAATAAATTTTACAGTTGATTAATTATGCAATATATAATATTCAAATTATTACTTTTTACTACGCATGATTTTTTTAATTATTCGCGGGTGAAGGCCTTCTCCATATACATGGAGGGTTGCGGTCTATTACTCCCACGGGAACCAGCCGTGTTGGGAGAGTAAGTGTAAGTTTTGTTAAAGACAATTTATTTAGGAGGAGGGACCGGTGGTTGCTACTGTTTCCTTTGAATTTCGTGCTGGTAAGTTGGAAAAAAAGCGGGAGGAGGGTCTAGTTCAGTTTCTTTTGATAACAAATATTTTCTCATATCGACTTTACTCTTCTTATAAGATCGATGCGCGTGTGAATGTGATTGTCGGATTTGGTTGTATTGCGAGAATTGATGGATAGAATGTTTTCTTTTTTAATATATTTGACTGTCTTTAATCTAAGTAGACAATTTTGTCGCGTCTTAATACAGCATTTTTGCCCGACTTCTTTTTTGAAGCTCTTTTCGTATTTTTAGTACGTGGTGTATAATATTCATTAATATAGTAGTTAGTACAGTCTAATCGCTTTTTTATTTTAATTTTTGTTATTTGAAGGCTTAATTTACAAAACGTAATCTTAGTCGATCTAGGATTTTCTCTCTTCCTACCTAATCTCAAAGCTGGTTCTATATCTTGTGAGGTACAATTTGCGTTCAAGTGTTCTACACAGCTATACATATAGCTATGTTAATTTTAGGGCCCTAATGGATGATTTTTAAATCGCACCGATGTGTTCGGTAATCGTGTAAAGGGTAAGTGAAGTTTAGGTCTTTATTTAGTTATGTATTTGTAGTTTAGATTGTACCTTATTCAAAACATGTACATTTATTACTTAATAACACAGCCTTTTTACGTAAATACATTGATTCCCTGGCCCGTGAGCTAGTGTAACTGTGTTTCAGGAACCAATGTGTTGAGCTCCCTCATTATTTACATTCACCACAGGATCTTAATTTCATTTAATTTAGACAAGAATACCCTAGAGACAAATTATTACAACCATATAATTAATTATTTAATATTATCGATAATGTACAGTACATTATGATACTACTACGGTAATGTACTCACAGAAGACCAGCGTAAAATAGCAGCTTAACGCTGCTGTGTTTCGTATGGTTAGTGTAGAGAACCGGAGACCCTTTTTACTGGCAAAGAGGCATTCCATCTTAGTCCTCACGGGTGACAACGCATCTGCATCTTGAGTCTTTATTGAGGATAGATGTAGATGTCTATGGGTCACAGTAACCACTTACCATCAGGTGGACTGTGTGCTCGTTTGTCACCCGATCCTATAAAAAAAATGTACATTAAAATGTCGGTAATATAAATATTAGTACCCCTACATGGTAGAGCCACGCTATAGCTATATTATGGTTATAGCAGGAATGGGTCGGCTCGACCTGAGTAGGACCACGCTCTCACAGAAACCAGCGTAAACTAGCAACTTAATGCTGCTATGCTGCAATATAGGGCCTTTTTACTGCATATGAAGTATTCGGTCTTAATCATTGAGTTATATGTACTACGTACTAGAGAAGCCATTCCAAATAAAAATTGTGTTCTAGTCTATGTCTACGCGCACGCGCGGGAGTAGTAGTCACGCATGCGCGAAGACTTTAATATAAAATAAGATATTAATATAAAATAAATATAAGAATTAAATATAAAATACTCTTATTTTAATCTAAACAAACATATTTCTAAATAAAATGTAATAATATTTATTTTATGGAATTTACAAATCTTCAATTTACGCATTAGGTATTTAGTTTAGTGTACGGATGGCAGTACAGTTCAGTTGAACATAGTCAATGTTCGGAATGCGAAATCTAGTGCGTAGTACATATATATCGATGGTCTTAGTCCTCAGGGGTGACAACGCATCTGCATTTTCAAGGAGAGTTAATAATAATAAATAGTAATCATTTATAATCAGGTGTTCTTTATACTCGATTATCACCCTTATTCTATAAAAACATAGCATATTTTACAGACTTGAAATTCACGCCTAGTACCTACTACAATTATCAATAGAATGATTTCATAATAGTATAACAGTTTACCATTTTCTGTTCAAAACTCTTCATACCTAATATCATGAGGATCGGGCAAGGTTGCTCCCCGATCAAGCAGAAGCTTTATGATTTCGTAGTTGTTCTTGTGTGCTGCGAGCATCAGTGGCGTGATATCCCGAGTAAACATCGCCGTGTTTGGATCAACTTTTTGCCAACTCTGTTTAAGAAAAAATATATGCCATCAAAAACATAACTTGTAAAAAAAGCCAAGTCTCGCAACTCAGTTCTTCTACGGTAAAAAGTTGAGAGATATATGTAATACCAAGTCGGTTAATTTATTCAGTCCCTACTTAAGGGTCCTTTTGTCTCAAGTTATTACGTAGTTAGCTAACCAAACAATATCTTATAGTGACCATATCAATATTAAAAATCTTTTATGTTTTAAATAAATAGATTGACTTGGCCATTGCATAAAAACACAAGTTACAAGTAATACATATTATATTAAATTAGATTGTTTAGTGCGATTCAGTGAGTGTTAAAATTAAGAAACTTTGACTAGTTATAACTCTTGAACTACTGGTTCAAATTGAATAAAATTTGAAATATATCGTGTCTATATAATACATGCTAGATTACTGAAAATTCAGGCTTCTAGTTTTATCCACTACGAAGTTATAGGGGGTTGAAAATGGCCTGAACTGCTTCGAGAAAAGGATGGTACGGCCGTGCAGCTTTTTTGCTCGACTTGGCGGGGGCACTGCCGTGCCCTCAGATTTTAAACGCCGAATCCATTAAAGTGTAATTGGTTTTAATTTCTTTATTTAGCCAAATTATTTACATCATCAACAACGAACGAATGCAAACTGAAAAGGTTGTGGCTTCAAATCCGCCATTCGCCTACTATACCACTAAACCACTTCTAACACAAGTATTTAAAGCTTACCAAGAGTGACTATAGGAAACATTAGTAACATTAATAGCATTTCTTGTATTTTTACTATTAAAGAAACAGGTCCAAAAACCTACTTCACGAGTCGAACCTAAGAGCAGCAGCGCAACGGAGGATGTATAATGTACTACATGAATTATATTTATATTTTTTCAGTGCATAAAATTGACTTAGAAATGCATTAAGGCGACACCGCGAAAAACTGCACCTTTTTTCATCGAATAGTATAGGAGTATGACACGACTAACGAAACTGGAATTTTGATATAGGTAAATTCATGTCTTTATCTTGAATTTGCTTGTTCAAAAACACGATTCTAAACTTTTGACTCGGCCATAATTATTTGCCTCTAAAAATCACTATAGTTGAAATTACAACGAAATTACTTAATCTATATGCTTGGGAACCACTCAAATACATTCATAACATCAATATTCGTAATTTACTTGCTCATTAATTTGACTAATAAAATCAATTTTTTTTTTAATATTTTAAGATTCTAAGCGATTTTTAAGCGGTCTTAATCGTCGCGGGCGCTACGCAATTTTAAACCTTATGGAGGCGTCTTTGAAGTTTTTATAGAAATTATGTTTCACTCGGGTCAGTCCGGCGATAGCCCGCTTCAACGGTTTTCGATGTGTCGCCTTAACCGAGCTGATTCGTGTATACTCAAAAGCCATTAACTATGACCTAGAGTAATAACAATTAACAGGATAATTTTTTTTACGTAACGTTAACAGTGCATCTTAGTCCAGAAGAGCACAACGCAGGCTCATTTTGATACTGTCAATGATCAAAAGCATCCATTGATAGTCGTTGGTAATTCTTATTTCTATTAAACAAATTGAAGCTTTGGATAACATCTACTACGTAAACTATACATCTCCTGGTGATAATTTATAACAAGTAGAACCAACAAAGATATATAATTTAAAATATTATGTTATGTTTTCAGAAAGTATTAATGATTTTTCTTCCTATATTTAACATTAGTGTTAAATATAGGAAAAAATCAATTAAACTTAAAAATCAATTAAACTTACGTATGGTTCTCCTGGTTTATGGATTAATTTTTCATGCTCAAGCAGTAGTTCAACAGCCTCCACGAATTCCGCATTGATAGCTTGCAGGAGTGCGTCCCTGGTTTCCACGCCCATGACGATAAGAAGCTCAACCATCTCCAGATTTTCACCATCTATTGCCAAAGTGAGAGCTCCACGACCCAATGCATCTACGCAGTTCATGTCTATATCCTTTCTGCGATGAGCTTTTTGAAGTATCCTAAAAAGTATCAGTTTTTTTTTTAATTGACATAATAATAACATAAATTCTCACGTCTGTCACCCAGAGGGATAGGCAGACACTACAGACTTCCCCTGACATACCTCTTCCACCTATTTCACGTCCATATACTTACGCACACATGCTTGTCGGTTTATAGTACTCTTTATTTGGCCAATCTTCAATAGATCGACAAATTGGTCGATAAACTTCCATCTAGGGCGTCCTTTGTCGACTCTACCATTTACATCTGCATCATGATTTGCATTGTCACTCTTTCCTCATTTATTCTCTCTACATGACGAAACCAATTCTTCTCTTGATCCTAGACATAACATCTTACAAACCACACTTTTCTCTTATCACCCAATTTCTCACTCCATTATTCAAAGTAGGTTCTTATATGAAACTGACCTCGAATCTTCTGTTATGACCACATAACTGCAGCATGTATTCCACTCTCATGCTTCTTTTGCCTATTTTCTCTTTTGTTTCTACCTGAAAGTGTCTCTGGTTCTCTACACTTGCCATACGAAAAACAGCAGCATTAGGCTGCGATTTTACACTGGTATCCTGTGAGAGAGCCATTCCCTTGCCGAGCCAACACATTCGTGATACAGCCGTAATAAAGCTGCAGCGTAGCTCTACCACGTAGAAAATTTAGGTTGTTCATGGCCTTGAATTAATTGACCTTAAACATCACACTTAGTTGACGGACTAAGTGTCGCATTACCAGACATGTTCTCCGTCGAAAGAAATGAAATCTTACTGGCATTCACCAAGCGCCTCTTATAACATGCACGGGATGAAATTTAGTGAAGAATTGTCTAAGGCACATCTGTTAAGAAATTTACCTTCTAACGTTAACTTTGTCTCCACGCTCTACGGCTAAAAGGTATTTCTTCTCTTCTAGTGTGAGTGACTTTGGCAGGACGGGTAACTCTACTGGCTGTTTCATACATTCTGAATTCGGATCGCCCTACAAAATACAAAGTGTTATCAAATAAATACACGTTAGTTAAAAGTTTAGCATCTTAAGAACATTCTACATGTTCATTCTACATGTACACGGCGCAAACGTAGGTGCACTCTCGTAGACCGATGGAACGGCAATCCGATACGACTGGAGAGATATCAAGCGCAAGATCAATAAAGATGTCCTGGAGTCACAATAAAACACCGTCATATCTTTAAATCTAGGCTGCTACTAAAAATTTCCAATAGCTGATTTCGAACCCGTAATAACATGATCAGCAATCTTGCTTAATATCACTAGCTCAACGAGACAATCAAATAAGCAAAGTAGAAGATGGCTGCCTATTTCTGCCCACGGATTCATCTCAGTAGGCATTCGTTACTGACTCGAAGAAACTGACAAAACAAGTATGACTGCAGGCAATGAGGCATTCCGTCATACACTTAACACCCATCTTTTTACAATGAGGTGGACTCTATGATCGATTGTCATGCATCACAGCCTTTTAAAAGAATAGCATAAATGTACTGCAGAATAGGCCTCCCTGTAGTTTGGTGGCATAGATGTGCACAAAAATCGTGGCGTCTGTTGCCGTTAAGGCAGTTAAAATAAAGTAAACATATACAAATAATAACAACGTATTATCGTCAGTGGTGTGTCTTTCCTAGTGTAGTAGTGTTGGGAGTAGTGGTGCTGGGATTAGTGGTGACGGTGATAGAGCACGCAATTAAGGGAGGGCGGGAGGTGCTCTTCAAACTATGTTAGACACATAATTTTATTTTATCGAGCGGATGTACGCGAAGTAATTTTTTGCCAACTTTAATTTAATGGATTTCCGCAAAGTAACGCCTGATTCTATTAATTATAACAATAATGTATAGATTATGTACTGTGAATATAGTAATTTAATTTGATTCTATATTAATTAACATTTAAACTCCGTCTTAATATGCTACGCCCAGGGTAGCTGTAGGGTTACGTACAGGGTTGTCACATGCTCTGTAAATATATTGTAACAACTTTATACATTGTTACATGCAATAAATGAATTATGAATTAAGAATATCCACCACCCCATATCATCACGTGGGTGTCGTAAGAGACGACAGAGGGAAACAAACCAGGAAATAGCAGTATCTTTCTGATATCAACTCAAAATTGTTAAAATCTTTGATTGCCAACCCGCCTGGCTAGCGTGGCAAATACAACAAAATCTCCTCCATGAGGTTGTCTATGGATGAGGCCTATACTCAGCAGTGGAGTTTTATAGACTGTAATGGATGACACAAATTATTTTTCCATACAAAAGCTATAACTTTAAATGGAATTCCGACCAAACGCGATACTAGTACTTGCACGAAGGGTTACGTACTATCGTTATACACGTTTCTAGTAAGTTAGCCCCCTTTCATTTTTACTTTATTTTAATATTTATTATTTGTTGCTATAGCGGCAACAGAAATACACATTTTGTGAAAATTTCAACTGTCTACCTATTACGGATCATGAGATAATAGGGGTAATAGGGTTCCGTCGTTGGTTGGCTACCCTACTGGTATGGAACTATAAAAAGGACGTATCACTTTTACAAAAAAAAAAACGGACCTATAGCAGATTTTGACATCCATGGGACCTTAATTAATTATATGCGGATAGACTTAAATTATTTATTGTCGACCAAACCCACACCATTAAAACAAGTTGATAGGGGAACATAAGTATATTATCCGTTAAAATATGTTGTAAAATCCTAATTAAATCGGCTTTTACGTAACTAATGTAACTAGTAGTCACCCAGGGTTCGAAATCCGACCGTAGTTCATTAAATTTTTGTGTTTGTATGTTAGGCAAGCTGTATTTCACTTTCAATTGCACATTTAAATATAGAACTCAGATATATTATCACTTGTCTTTAATAGATCTGTGCTTGTCATACACTCCACTCCACTCTACTGAAAAAGGATCATTTGAAAAAAGTGGAAAACAGAGCCACGCGGCAGCTTTTGCTGCCGCACGGATGGGCCGGCTCGAACCGGGGTGGTACCACGACCTCACAGAAAACCAGCGTGAAGTAGAGGTTTACCTCTGCGTTTCGCTTGGTGAGTGCAGGTGGCCGGAGGCCCTTTTTACTGGAAATGAGGCATTCCATCTTAGTCCTCACGGGTGACAACGCATCTACATTTTGATTTGTAATAGAGGATAGATGTAGATGTCTATGGGCCGCAGCAACCACTTACAATCAGGTGGACTGTGTGCTCGTTTGTCACCCTTATCCTATAAAAAAAACACACACACAAAATTTACAGTTTACTCAGTCAATTGGTTGGAACTCGTCTGTTGGCAAGAGTTTAGAATACTTTGGCGACAATAATTAAAACGCGTAGTGATTACCTGGCCACTATTTGATGCTCGTCAATGAACATTATATGGTTGACATTGGCAATATGAAATATATTTTTATGTTTTATTTAATTTTCTTTGATTAATTTGTAACACATATAAGTTTTAGCTTTCTGCAGTCCTCTATATAACCTTTAACTATGCCAGATCTCACAGTACTCAGTGCGTACAAAATGCTTAAAAAGGGGGACAAAGTTGTCCATTTATGTGTTAATATGTAAAATTTATAAAAAAATAATAAATAAAAAAATAACTTACTCCTTATTCGTGTGTTAATATGTAAAATTTATAAAATAATAATAACATAAAAAATAAAAAAAATAACTTACTCCTTCCAAATCCTGCTTCTCGATCATGGCTAATGTTTGGTCAGGTTGTTAAACTGGATCTACAATCTGGTAATATTGCACTTAGTTCTGTAATATAATTGCAAAAGATAACTTGTCATCCTCAAAATTATAAAGGTAAAACTTTTCCTCATATCAATCTAGATTATTTTATTGTTCTTAAGATAGTTAGTTTTTACGTGGTAGAGCTGTGCTGCAGCTGTATTAATAGTATAGTTGTAGCACGAATGGGTCGGCTCGACCGGGGAAGAACCACGCTTTCACAGAATACCAGCGTAAAATAGCAGCGTAATGCTGTAGTGTAGAGAACCGGAGATCTATTTTACTGGAAAAGAGGCATTCTATCTTAGTCCTCACGGCTGACTGATAAATGTAGATGTCTATGGGCCACAGCAACCACTTCCCATCAGGTGGACTGTGTGCTCGTTTGTCACTCTAATTAAAACCAGCAGCACACACATTATTAAATTCTTACTGTACGTAGGTTTAAGCTAGAGAATGATGTGTGCACCCTTTTAGGTGTCAGCATTACAATGTACATTAAGGCCTAAGCAAAGTTATAGTACTGTACAATAGCCAATAAAGAAATTTATTGCAATATCATAATGATAACCAATGGTAGGTAACAAAGTTTTTCGAGTGACAGCTTCATACCAGTAAGCGAAGTATATGGCAACCCGCAATAAATGGAGACGATCTCGGAAGACATGCGGGAAGTCGATGGATGCAGGTGGCTCAGGACCGTGCTTTGTGGCATTCTTTGGGGAACATATTCTGCAGTGGACTTGTGAAGGTCTGTAATGGTGTAGATAATCATCGTTTTATTCAGTTTATTTTTTAATTTTCCATCGTTTATATGGAGGCTTGGTATATGGTTTCAACGGATTTGTTCTGGTTTGGGCAAACGTCTGCTGTTGGACAGTTGAACGATCGCTAGGTGCCAACATATTTTTGTGTCGGACGGTTGGACGATCTTTTAGTACCAACATAAGTAAAGGCTTGACTAAGATAAGATTTTCCCTGGACATCCAGAAGTCGAGTGGGCCTGACGGAATCCCCCCAATTGTGCTGAGGACGTGTGCTCCGGAGTTGGCACCGGTCCTAACGCGTCTTTTCCGGTACTCCTACTCCCAAGGCGTAGTCCCGAATTCATGGAAGACAGCTTTTGTCCACCCGATCCCTAAAAAAGGCGACCGCTCAGACCCGTCCAACTATAGGCCTATCGCGATCACCTCCTTGTTCTCCAAAATAATGGAATCCATTATTAACTGCCAGCTCATCCGGTACCTTGAGGATCACCAGCTGATTAGTGACCGCCAATACGGTTTTCGTCGGTGTCGATCAGCTGGTGATCTTCTGGTTTACTTGACCCATAGATGGGCGGAGGCAGTAGAGTCCAAGGGGGAGGCGTTGGCCGTTAGTCTGGACATTGCGAAAGCCTTTGATCGGGTTTGGCACAAAGCGCTTCTTTCAAAGCTGCCTTCCTATGGGCTTCCCGAGAAATTGTGCAATTGGATCACCAGCTTTCTTGCAGATCGGAGCATCAAGGTCGTTGTAGACGGTGCATGTTCTGACTACAAGCCTATTAACGCTGGTGTTCCACAAGGCTGTGTGCTATCACCAACGCTGTTTCTTCTGCATATCAATGATATGTTGCTAACTGGTAACATTCATTGCTATGCGGATGACAGCACTGGTGATGCTCTATACACCGGCCGGGCCAATATTTCTCGGGAAAACGTCGCCGAGTACCGGAACAAACTTGTGTCTGAAGTCGAGTCTTTGCTGGACAAAGTCTCGGATTGGGGGCGACTAAATCTAGTCCAGTTTAATCCTCAGAAGACACAAGTTTGCGCGTTTACCGCTAAAAAGAACCCCTTTGTCGTATCTCCTCAGTTTCAAGGCACTCCCCTTCTTGCCTCAGCCAGTATCGGTATCCTCGGAGTCGACATATCGAGTGACGTGCAGTTTCGTGGTCACTTGGAAGAGAAGGCCAAATTGGCCTCTAAAAAGCTTGGCGTGCTCAGCAGAGCGGGACAGTATTTCATGCCGGCACACCGCCTGCAACTTTACAAGGCGCAGGTTCGGCCTCACATGGAATACTGTTCCCATCTCTGGGCAGGGGCTCCCCAGTGCCAGCTCCTTCCACTTGACCGCATCCAGCGCAGAGCGGCTCGAATCGTCGACGACCGAGCCCTTTCCGATCGGCTCGATTCATTGGCACTGCGAAGAGATGTTGCATCTCTTTGCATTTTCTTTCGCATCTACCATGGGGAGTGCTCTGAGGAATTGTTCGGATTAATCCCAGCCGCCAAATTTCACGAACGCACATCGCGGCAGAACTCCCGATACCATCCACACCATCTGGATGATTGGCGGTCCACCACTGTGCGATTTAGAAGATGTTTTCTTCCTCGCACAACTTCCTTGTGGAATAGTTTACCACCAGGGATTTTTCCGGACCGATACGACTTAGGGACCTTCAAGAAAAGAGCCTACTCCTTTTTAAAAGGCCGGCAACGCATCTGCAATTCCCCTGGTGTTGCGGTTGTTCATGGGCGGCGGTAGTCACTTACCATCAGGTGAGCCGCATGCTCGTTTGCCCCCTCTCCTATAAAAAAAAAAAAAAAAAAAAAAGATAAGCCTTGTGTTATAATGGCTAAATTGCTCACTAGTCATATTGTCAAAAATCATTTTGACAATATGACTCCTTAAAGGTATCTTTATATATGATGGAGCCAAGCTGCAGCTATATGTTGCAGCACGGTCGCAATAGGTCGGCTCGAACGGGAAAGAAAAACGCTCTCACAGAATGCTAGCGTTAAACAGCATCTTAATGCTGCTCTCTTTCGTATAATGAGTGTAAAGAATTGGAGATCCTTTTTTTACTTATTGTAAGCCAGTGCTTGGCTACAATCCCAGCTGGTAACAAGTGGCGATGAAGCCCTAGATTCACTCTTGGCCAGATTGTATTTGGAAGGAAAGATAGACGCCGGCAAATTATTCCACTCCTTTAGACTTCTAGACGAAGCAAACCGTTTGGTTCTAATGCGTAGAATATCGACAGCAAAGGAAGAACCACCAACCGTCTGGTTGTCCGACGGTATAAAGGAGAGAGAGAGGAATTAAAGCATGTAATACTTGCGCACACTTTTCACTCGAAACGAGGCATTCCATCTTATTAATAAATTGAGGATAAATTAAGATGTCTATGGGCCTCAGCATCTTTTTACAATCAGGTGGACTTTGTGCTCGTTTGTCACCGTTATTCTATAAAAAAAGGTTCCTCCCTAGTTAAAAAATTTACGATATAAAAATCTTAAGTTTGAACATTGTTTTGCTTTCGGCGTAACATCAGACAGACTATAATCATTAAAGTATAATGCAAAGAATTTCATTAATAGGTATCGTAACGTTCGATATTGAATACTTTCAAACTAATTATTACGAAACATAACTTACTACGATTAAAAAGAACTTGAAATAAAATACTTTAGCTTTTTACACACTTTATAATAGCTTGCCCTGTACGTGAAATATATGAATATAAAAAGAAATTTTGTAATTCTGTTTCCACCTACTTTCAGACAGAACATCTGAAATCTGGCAGACGTATTAAAGACCGATAACAGTTCAATAAATTCATAACTATGATCTAGTATTCCCACCAGAATCATCATAGCTCATGATGCATTATCGTTGATGATTGTTTAAGTTTTCTCAAATTCTAATATTATTATTATTATTAATTAATCATCTCCAGACCGAACTTCCATCATGTCGGCTATGTGAAAGTCTACGCAGAACAGGATCCGAGTGATTTCCACGAGTGTTTGTGCAGGCACAGATGCATTCTATTTTTCCTCGTTCTCATAGACCGATGGGACGTCAATACGATAAGACCGGAGAGAGATCGTAGCGTAGATGGTATCAACGGCCTTTATGGTTATGTTATTTAATTTTTTTTTGTGAAGAGAGTGGCAAGGGACGCTCTAGGATGAATTTTATCGACCAAATTGGCGATAAATTAAATATGGGTCAGAGTACTCCTAACAGACGAGTATATTTTTTTATTATGAATTATGGCCTTAAAATGAGCAAAGATGAGTTCTACGATGGAGCGAGTTTACCCAGGAGAAGTCTGTTAACATACACTTTGAAGTGGTTAAAATCATATGCACTCGGAAAAACACACGCCAAAGGGGCATTTCACTCCTTGGCTGTACGCATTATGAATGATGACTTACAGCGCTAAGTGCGAATGTCCGGAATATCAACCAAGTGTGGATGGTAGCCTGCAGTACCTCTGGTACTCCGATAGGAGAATGGAGTTGGCGGTATGAGCTTATGAATCTCATAGGCACACTCTTCGAAATACAATCTGTATGTATGTATGTATATGGATGTGAAAGAAGCGAGAGAGGCGACGTCTGGATCATGCCAAATGGAAGTCCTTATTATCACCCACCTATTTATTCTATATCTAAACTTAAATTCTATTTAATCGTCTGACATGTATAGACTGAAACTTGGTACAAACTAAGCATAATAGATATTTTAAGCGTTGTTTTTTTTTTTAAAGAATAAGTTTGACAAACGAGCACTTAGTCCACCTGATAGTGAGTGGTTGCTGTGGCCCATAGACATCTAAATCTATCTTCGTTTGCGAATTCAAATGCAGATGCGTTGTCAGCCGTGAGGACTAAGATAGTATGCATCTTTTCCAGTAAAAAGGTTCTGTTTGTTATTTTCTATACACAGTAGTTATTGTTAGGGTTGAGGGTAGGTTAGTTAACTTGGGAATAAGCAGTTTGTTGCAAACAAATTATTGACGCTCCAGCCAAAAGAGACTCTATCTAGTCAGAAACTAAGTCAGTGATCAGTTCTCTGAAAATGTGGATTCGCCTAAACCTATACGCTAAGCGGCTTTGCTATCGCAGTACAAGATAGCTTGCATTTTAGACTGCTCTCTAGACTGGGTTCCGTATAATGAGATATCGCGCGAAAGT